CCAGTGACTTGGAAGGCTGATGCAGAAGGACCACAAGTTCTAGGCCAGCCTGGGCAACTTAGAGGGACCCCATTTCAAAACACAAAGGGGAGGGGAGAGTGAGGCTCCATGGTACAGCCCTTGCCAAGTATGTTCAAAGTCATTGGTTCAATCCCCAGTACTGGAAACAGAAAAGAATCCTCAAGACCCAAGCCAACCCTCTAGTTGAAAACATGGGGGCAGGGTGGGCCCAGTATTCTGCATTGTCCATGAAGCCTGTGTTCTGGCCATGAACTCAGTTTGCTTCTCTTCCCAACTCTTCATTTTTTCTACATGCACACACACACACACACACACACACACACATATACCATGCTTGCTTCTCTTGGGCTTCAGGGTCAGAAAACAGCTATTCTCTTGGCTGCATGAAGTGAGCTAGTCACTTACACTCTGTGCTTGAGTCTCCTCAGCCAATGCCAAAAAATGTCATGAAACACTTGGCACAGGGGTTTGTGATGAACATTGAACAATGSAGTTCATAAGCTCCTCCTTTTATTATTTTGTTGGGGGAGTGGTTACCAAGGATGGAACTCAGGGGCACTCGACCACTGAGCCACATCCCAGCTCTATTTTGTATTGTATTTAGAGACAGGGTCTCACTGAGTTGTTTAGTGCCTCACCATTGCCGAGGCTGGCTTTGAACTCGTGCTCCTCCCACCGGCTCCCAAGCTGCTGGGATTACAGGCTTGTGCCCCAGTACCTGGCTCCTCCTTTTATTTTTAATTTCTAGTTTCATAATTATAAATACATTTTTTAAGAATTTTTTTTAATATTTATTTTTCAGTTATTGGCAGACACAACATCTTTGTTGGTATGTGGTGCTGAGGATCGAACCCAGGCCGCACGCATGCCAGGCTAGTGTGCTACCGCTTGAGCCACATCCCCAGCCCCATAAATACATCTTTTAAGATATTTTTTAATCTTAAATATGGATAAAAGAAATGTCATTTTGACAGCATCTATTATTCCTTTCCCCTRGTGGTAACCACTGTGGGCAGTTGTCTCTCCTTCCAAACCTTTCTATGTAGATCATTTCTATATAGGTTCTTGTGATGTGCATAGTTTTGTGAGATTATATAATATAGATTTTTAAAAATGGGGAAAAATCAACTTGCATTTTTCTCATAGTAGTATATATCAGAGTTGTTTCCACCTCAGTACTCGTGCCAGTTTATTTAACTGTCCCCTGTTGATAGTTTGGGTTGTTGCCAGTGAATCACTGTTAGAACAAACACTGAGAGAGTGGCCTGGGGTGCGCCGCTCTGTGCACCATGCTGGCATTTCCGTAGGACGGATGCGGTCCACATGTTCCCTTTTTTGCTGACTCAACACACTGCAACCCCAGATCTTTGTATTCAGTGCCTGTCTCTTGGTGGCTCTGAGCTGGCCTTTTTATAGAGTGGTGCTCCTGGAATACCTCAGCCTCAGCTCTGAGGCTGTATTCCAGGTCAGGCCAGATGTGTGACCAGGGGGCTCTGAGCAGGTGCAGCCCTGGACTGTGGAGGAACCAGGGAAGTCTACCTTGGCCCTTCTGCTCCCTGTGGGTCCTCTCTGTGTCTCCCTGCAGGCTTGCTCTTCCCCCAGCCCCACCAGAATAGAAAGTGGGTGATGTGGTTCCAGTGCTAGATAAGTGACTTGCCAACAGCAAGTCACTTGTCTTTCTGAGACTCCTTGCCTTATATATAAAATAGTTAGTGACAATGCCTACCTTCCAGGGAAAATTGAGGGAGTAAGATATGATAGAGTATTAGCCCAGATGAGGACTATTCCTATTAATAGCATCCTAGCACCACTTGCCCCCTATGCCTCTTGCCTCATATCATGTAGTCCTTCTAAAAGTCTCATGTACAGTAGGGTCCTAACTCAGGCACCTGCTCTCCTTCTAGGTATTAGCAGTCAACTCAGTTGTTAGTTCTCAACTAAAATTTTAGCTGCCAGCTAAGATGTTAACCAAAACCAAGATACCTGCTCTCAACTAAGACACTAGTTAACAGTGCTTCCCATCACCCAGGAAGATACCAGCGGACTACTTTTCCCTCTAATGAATGCATACGCATAACAAAATCTCTGATCATGTCTTTTCCCCCATTAAACTGTCAGTTCTATCAGGGCAACTTCACCAGAACAAAATGGGTTCTCAGTAAATATTGTTGAGGATAAATGGGTGACAAGCCTTCAGTTGACTCACACGGATGAGGTTGTGGTGATGGGTGGTACCAGCAGAGGGTTGAAATTTGGGGCAGGCCATAACAGATAGCACCAAGTAGATAAGCATCCATGGCCTCTGGCCAATGGCAGGGGCAGAAATGCTTCCATTCTTCTCTCCAAGAGAAAAGCCAGTTGGCTGCAGAGACCTCCTTGGGTGGGTGCTCCTTGGAGGAGCCAGCCCCAGGCCTGATCAGGTCCAAGCCTTCTAGGTTGAGAGATTCAATTTCATTAGCTCACCCAGGGGTGACCAGGCTCTGGGAAGTCAACCAAGCAAGCTCCTGATTGATAAGGCAGATCAACAATTTATTAACTTATGCTGGCAACTGTGACTGCTAAACAGCCTGTAGCATTTGAGTTRGTCCCTCTGCTTGTTTGTTCTCTACAGAAGGAAAATTTAATTGGGAACCCAAATCAAATTCCACAGAGTRGAATAAGGTAAAATGAAGCTAAAGAGTAATCATAGTTGATAGCACTCTGTACTGTAATATACAGTGTCCCCTTGTCTCGTTACTGTCCCATTTTGTGGATGAGGACACTGAGGTCATATGAAGGCATTTCTTTTTTTTTTAAAGAGAGAGAGAGAGAATTTTAATATTTATTATTTAGTTATCAGMGGGTACAGCATCTTTGTTTGTATGTGGTGCTGAGGATCGAACCCGGGCCGCACGCATGCCAGGCSAGCGCGCTACCGCTTGAGCCACATCCCCAGCCCATATGAAGGCATTTCYACCGCAATTCCACAATTGTGGGTGCTCTTCCCTCAATGCTGGGGGGCTCAGGAACCTGATGTACCCATGCAGGCTCCCTTCCATCCTGGCTGTGGTTCCCCATTTTCCTTCTGTTAACGCCACACGTCTTCCCCTAAGAACATCTCTGCCTCCCTGATGAGATGCAGGAGCCACCTGGGTCTCATCAGCGGTGTCTACCTGTCCTCAAGAGGGCACCTCTCCTTATGCAGATAATAACAATAAAACCAAGGTCATAGCTATGATTCATTGAGTGCTGTGTGCAGGTGCCTTACATGCTCATCTTCCTCTCACGACAACCTCATGAGACAAGTTACTCTCATCTCCCTTTCACAGCTGGGGAATCAAGCTGATTGGGTACATTGCCCRGGTCCCCCAGCTAGTGAGTAGCAGGCTGACATTGGAGACTGARCTCACAATTACCCTTACCACCTCACCTTCAAGTGTGTGACTCTGTGTCTCACATGCTAGAGTGCTCCCTGGTACCTGTGCACTGGGAACATCAGCACGGCTTCTCCCAGGATTCCATAGGGCTGTATCTAAAGCAACTCCAAGAAATCAGTCCTGGGAAGTCAAGGAACCTGGCTAGGGTGAAGGAAAGTGCCTCCAGAGCAAAGTTCAAGCTTCAAGGTCAGGCTCCAGCCCCTTTGTCTTCTTTCCCTTCCCATATTGCTCCTGCCACATGGAGTTCCTCACAGGGTGCCTCAGGTCCTCAAGGCTCCTCTGGGTCTTCTCAGTCTAGCAAACTTCTATTCATCCTTCAAACCCTAGGCAAAATGTCACCACATCTTCCTCCTCCCCAATCAGGAGCTCTGATTATAGCATATACCAGATGTTCTTGTAGTTATCTGTATCCCCCTCTAAGCTGTGAGCTTCTCAAAGGCAGGCATAGCTTTGTGTCCCTTATTGTCTTTTCAGCTCTCCACAAGTCTCTGGCATGCAACTGTGTCTGTGAATAGTTTTTGTATAATGAATGACTTTCAGAGGGCTGTAGGAACACCAGTCTTCCATACACAAGTGACGGAAGAGCTGGGCACAGCCCAGTTAACAAGAATGTGAATGGATTTAAAGAATTCCAATCCCATGTGGACCAGTGCTTCTTATCCTTGGGACAATGCTGGACTTTTTTGGCCTTTCTTCCCAGAAAGGTGCACTGTGCTTACCAAATTCTATATCCTGTTACTGGGGAGTCCTACTGTGTAGGCTTGGACCCCAAGGATAGGTATGGAGGAGGAGAGGGAGTTGCTGGGAGCAGTGGCGAGGCCTGATAGGGGCAGCAGTGATAGAGAGGCACTGTCCCTTAGGAATCTGTTCAGTGTCCATGGGAGACCATGTTTCCTGGGAGGAAATGCAGTAACCCGGGGTGCTACCAGTGCGCAGCAGAGAAGAATGGTTAAGCCTAGGGGATCTGGAGCCTGCCTGTCTGGGTTCAAATCCTGGGCTTGCCACTTCCCAGATGGGTAAACTTGGACAAATTAACATCTCTGGCCTAGGTTTCCTCTAGGATGCTAAGTCCTACTGGAAGGGGATGTTAGTAGAAATAAATGGGCTATTGTGTGCAAATAACTTAAGAATGCTCAGTCCCTGCTTTTATTGCCAGAAGCATGAAGATCGGGCTCAGCTGGAAGGACCCCTCCTTCCCTAACTCCCTGCCACACCCACATAGGTCTTGTAAACCTTTTTAGTTACACTCATGGCATAGGCCCTTACTTCCTACTGGACACAGAGCTCTTCAAGGTCAGGAATACCATCTGTCTTGCTCTCTGCTGTACTCCTGTGTCTGAAACATAGTTGTTGCTTGGTAAATAGGTATTGAATAGAATTAGGGGTGGAAGGTGTTGGAAAAGCAAGAGATTCTGTTCTGTCACAGGAGAGTCACTGCACATCCAAACAGCAGTTGAGGGTAAAAAAAAAATCAGGGAGGCCTGAGTGTGGTAGCTAGGATGTCTTAGTGTCACATTGACTGGACCTCTGACCTCTCTCTCTCTCTCTCTCCTCCTTCCCCAGTTCCTGGCATTTGACACCCAGTTGCTGATGGGTAACCGACGCCACTCGCTGAGCCCAGAAGAGTATATTTTTGGAGCCCTCAACATTTACCTAGATATTATCTATATCTTCACCTTCTTCCTGCAGCTTTTTGGCACCAACCGGGAATGAAAAGCTCTCTCCACTCCCACCTTCCTCCAGAGAATGCCCTTCCCTGTCCTTTGACCCTCTCTGTGCTCCTGCAAAACCAGACATAAAACCTTGCTGCAGCCAGCCTGTGGCCAGCTGCTCCCTCCCTCAGCCAGCCCTCACCTGACCCTCTGCRGCTTGTACATATGCCATCCTTTGGGGCCTGAAGAACTAAGACCACATCATCCCCTGTGCTACCCTCCCCCGTTACATTTTCCAAACTGGAACAGTCAAGGATGAAGGCCTCTTTGGGTTTGAGAACCCAAGGGACAAGTGGGAGGAGCTCAGCAAAATCTCAGAGGCAGGAAGGAGACCCTAAGAAGCCTGACTGAGACTTGTATCCCTACCAGGATTCCTCCTAGGGCTGTCACAACCAGGTGACTCTGAGGGATACTGTTCTGTGTCCAGTCAACCTGCTGTTCTCTCTGTTACAGGTCAAGCATTGACACCTTATAAGCAAATGGGTGGGGGGCACCAAGGGAGATGAAAGGAAGGTGTCTCAGGCTGCCCATCTCTCAACTCCAGGACCAGTGGCTTGTTCTGAGAATGGGCCCCAGGGCTGAGGGCAATAGAAAAGGGTTAGGAAGCCCAAGGCCTCTKATATTTGCCTTGGTTTGTCCTCTTGGGAGTCCTGTGGAGCAAGAGATAGGGGTAGGAGGGCCTACTCCTGAGGGCCTGTCCTGGATTCCCAGGGAGGTAGGGGCAGAAAAGCCAACTGGGGAGACCGAACTGTGCAGCACGGGCAATCCATCTAGACCTGGGTCCACTTGGGAGGTGTTAGGGTTATAATTCTAAGACCCACATCTTCTCACTGTCTTCTCTCCCCGCTTGCCCAGGACTGCTCCCACAGGTCTGAGAAGAGTGAGGTATGCTGGGGCCTTTCTGGCTGGAGGTTCTGGAGAGCAGGCAGTTCTAGTTAATGGGTCAGCTCCGTGTGGAGGGATCCTGCTCTGCCCCCAGCCCTAACCTGAGGCGATGCCCAAGTCCCTTCTGCACCTCTTATTTCCTACCCTATCTGCTGTCACTTTCTGGCTTATCCCCAGCCAGGCCACCTGAGGCCTTAGAAGTTGGCAGGCCCATATCCCTTCCCCCAGCTTCTCTGGCCACTCACTCAGCTCAGAGTCCCTGAACTCCTACCCCTCCCTATCTCCACATCTCTCCAATTTGGAAGCTGTCCAGCTGATGCTAACAGCCAGGACCAATAGCTCCAGCTGGTCCATGTGATGAGGCCAAAGTTCCTTATCAACCTTCAGGTGGCTGGGATCTCAGGCAGGGTGTGCGTCAGTCACCCGGCCCCTGGCTGGGTGCCTGCTAGGGAGAGCAACAAGGGGCCACACCTCGGGCAGTGTGCAGCCGACATGTACCCAGGGCCAACTCAGAGCTAGTGGAAAGTTACTGGGTGGAGGTAAAGAGACTCTGAGTAGATATCAGGACTCTCCCTTGGCCTCTCTGTCTCCTGGGCTCTCTCCTCTTCTTCCTATTCTGGAGACCCSGTTAGCACCTGGAAGAGGTGACTAAGTGTGTTGTCTATCCATTCCCAACCCCACCCCTCTCTGCCCTTCCTACTTCTAGCTTTCAAGAAATATAATAGAAGCATTTGAAGTTTTATTCCATCTTGGATATTTGAGAAAAGAATGAACCAGGAACCAGCAGGTAGTGTGTGTGAGGTAAAGGCAATCAGGGCAGGGGAAGGGGGTGCCCACTGTGTGCTGGTCTAAATTAAACCATTGCAGCAGTCCTACGATGGCAGTCCTCTGCACGTCCCTACTGCAGAGGGCAAAGCCAAGATGATCAGAAAGGCTTGATAATGAGTCTAAGGTCACACAGCTAGCAGTGGTGAATCTGAGATTCAAATCCATGGCTGCCTCGCTCAAAAGGCATCAGTCTTTCCTTCCAGCTTGAGTGGGGAGGGGCTGGAATGAGACTGCATGAGAGCCCAGAAAGGTGGATGATCAAGCCCCAACATCTCTGGGGATAGTGCCACCCATTCCAATTCCCACTCCCCCCACCAGATAGGAAAATTCAGTTTTCCTATTTGCAAGATGGAAGTCTGCGGCCAGTGTGGAGCAGGGAGAAGCACCAGAACACTGATTTCCCTGATCTCCACACCCGGTTGACACCCCTCTTCCAAGGCCCCTTGGATTCCTCTCCTAATCTCTGGCCTTGGTACTAGAAGGGTTTAACCCCCTCTTCCCAGTCATTAACCTGCCACTCCCACACTGGCCAGCTTCCCAGAATTCACTTGTCCATGTCCTTCTCTTCCTGGGATAATTTATGCAGAAACTGGGGATTAAGAAGTTTTTCCAAGGTTGAGCTCCAAAAGATTGGGGGAAGGGCAAGCCCTTAGTCATTTATAATGTGTGTGACTCAAGCACAAATCACTCAAATCAATGATGGCTCCTCTGAGGAGATGGGGAGGCCCAGCAGAAGATGCTGCAGTCTTCTACCCTGGGTCCTAAGGAGAGTCCAGGGCATTGCAGAGCTGACAGCAAGGCCAGAACTGAAGCCTGTGTGTACTACTCCCATCTGGACAGTGAGGAGTCCCAGGAACACCTGGATGGGTCTTGAAAGGAGGACAGGCGGRGAACAGGAATGCCAGATTATGAGAAATTGAAGCTGGGCATTTGCCATAAGCTATAGAGGAGGAGGGACCCTGATGCTCTTCATATTTTTGGCCTGGGTGAGGCTGGACCTGGGAAAGGGTAGGTTTCATTTTATAAACTAGAGGAAGCCAGAAATCTAAACATCTGTGATGTGAGGTCAGAAGTATCCTGATGAGGGGTGACAGACAAAGAGATCCTTTCCTGGAGGCTGCAGATCAGAGCCAGGGAGGCACAGGGAAGTCCCTAAACCAATTGCTGGGTACATGCCTGGCTCCTTCTGTATAATTTCGGGAAGCCCAAGAGCTTGATTCTTCAATTTCCTACACTTCATCCTGGAGGATTCAGGATCAGACAGACCCCTCATTCAGAAGGTTGTGCATCTCCTTCTCCAGCTTACCTGAGGACAAAGTGGCCTGTYTGCCAGGGATAGGATGAGATTTTACACAAGCACTTTGCTGCCCCCCAGTGGCTTCGAGAGAAGATGTGGGAAAGAAATAGGGCAGCTATGGCTAGTGGTGAGGCACAGGACCTGCCTGCTGGCCTTCCCAGTTCTCAGTCCTCCCAGACCTGTCTTCTCAGCAACCACCAGCTGTTCCCTTTTGACCAACGACTGTCACATCTCTCAGACACTGTTTACCTGTCTACTGAAAACCACCCCTATGCTGCTCCCAAGGCTCAGCACCAGGGATACTTGTCTGCCACAGCCCCAGACACAATCGCTGCCCTTCCGGCCTCAGTTCCTCCAAGGTCCCTGGCCTGTGCCCGTCCCCTTCCCTGGCCTCACTTTTCCAGGGTCTGTGATTGACTGGAGATAAGAATAAAAGCAGTTATGACATTTGAACTGTTTCCTTTGATTATCTTTTGCTTGCGTCCTCAGATGGCTCCTAGAGCGTGTGTAAGACTTAACTCAGAGCAATGGGAAAGCTCTCACATAGTGTGTTTCTCCATGCAGCTGCCTTTGAATTAAGCCCCCACCTTTATTTACCTGTACAAAAAGGTGACTGGTCTTCTTCTCAATAAACCCTTTCTGGAGAACTTAGGTTCCCAGAGCTGGAAGGACTTCCTGAGAGGCTTCTCTGCACCAAGGCTCACCCCAAGTATGGAAACCTAATGTTTCGTGGGCAGTGCTGTTAGACTCTTATTTTCAGTGAAAATCTGTTTCCCTAAAAGGAAAGTCTGTGGTGCTCTTGGATAGATCCCCCATAGCAGCAGCTTTAAAACTATAAAACCTGAGCTCTTTGGAGCTCTCTTGGTCACCTAGAATCTGTAGTATTTTAACACACAGTCTCAGCAAGCAACTCCACCCCCACTCCCCCCACCCCCCAGAAAACCGGGGATTGAATCCAGGGCATTTTACTACTGAGCTACAACACCAGACCTTCTGTTTTGTTTTGTTTTCAAGATGGCATCTCATTAAGTTGCTAAGGGTGTCTTCGAACTTGTGATCATTCTGCCTCAGCCTCCTGAGAAGCTCAAAGCAATTTTGAATGCAGGAAGGAAGGAATCTACTCCAACCCTTTTCTTTCTGTAGGAGGAAACTACAGAGCAGAAGCTGCAGTGACTTGTTCAAGTTTATGAACAAATTACTGACTAGGAGTAGGATTAGAAGACACATGAGTTAATGATTTCATCACCAGATTCCCATGGGGAACTTGGAGCTGGGGGCAGTATGTGGGAGGAGACACCATTATACTGGAACAGCAAGGGATATTATCCTTTGTCTCTGACAAGATTTTGATATAAATTCAGCTACAACAAGGAAAGAAGCAGGAATAAAAGTGAAGGGACCGAAGAGAGAATACATGTTTTTCTTTTTTCTTTTCTTTCTTTCTTTTTGGTAGCAGGGATTGAACCCAGAGGTACTTAACCACTAAGCCACATCCCCAGCCCTTTTTAATATTTTATATAGAGACAGGGTCTCACTGAGTTGCTAAGTGCCTTGCAAATTTGCTGAGGCTGGCTTTGAACTCGAGATCCTCCTGACTCAGCCTAATCTCAAATTGCTGGGATTACAGGTATGCRCCACCACCCAGCAGAGAGTAAATAACTTTTCTTAAGCACCCAGTGTATACAAAGGACTTCCATAKATAGCAAGAGATAGGAGAGGATGCCAACCACATCACAGGACAGAAAACACAAGAACTTGAAACCACATAGTCTAGTATTCCAAGTGAACACTCTTCACTGTAGCCCCAGAGAGCAGTCAGTGCAGAAATGTTGAAATGGGGGAGAGGGAGGCCTCTGAATCAGGGCCTACTCTGAAAGGTGGAAATTGGRAGAGGGTGGAAGGGAAAGGAAGTTGCAGTGTAAATTGTGTGAAGGTGACACTGGGCTCCAGAGCGTTCTCCAACTTCTTGAGTCCCTTGGCCTCCCCTATCTCCTACCCAGTCTTAGTTTCTGGGGCCTGCCACAATAAATCACAGACTTGGTAGATTAAAACAACATGAATAGTTTATTCTACCACAGGTATGGAGAC